TCGCAGTAACTTCTTCACCAAAGGCTAGCTGGTTACGGTAAGCTCAGCTAACCATTGTCCTGGTAGCTTGTTTATTGTACAGACACGAGAATGACACCCTTCTTTTCATCTAACCCTCAGCCAGAAAGCGAATAAGTTTATTAAATTAAATTTCCCACAGTGCTAAACAGTTTATTTACACTGATCTAATTTTCATTTCCAGTTAAATAACACTCACTTCTTGTGAAATGCATGTGAGCATGGGCACACTCCCAGTTCATCTCTGGTCCTGAATTCTTCCAGACACACCGCACAGGTTTGCTACAAGAACAAAAACAATAGCAACGGTTAGTTTATGTGAGATTTTAATGTGGGCTTGTTTTTCCAAGAACATTGGCATGTGTAAATTTGAACAGTAAATTAATTTTAATTTGATGTAGATTTCGAGCGTGCCAGTGTTTTGGAAATGATGCTTTTATCTTAACTATATTTTCTAAGTAACAGACATATTCCAGCCTTCCCCTGTACAAAAACAGAGTCTGGACATTGAATTTAAAACCAAAATTACCCCTAACCACCACCGTTGCCTTGGAAAAGAAAAAGAGCTTAAAATAGAATTTTTTTATAGGAATCACAAGACAGAGAGGAGATCTTTTTATAATGCATTTTGAATGAGTTTCTGACATTTATTTAAATTGCTGCATTTGAGATACAAGATATTTTCAGGACATCTCCTCTGAGTGTGTGCAGCATGTTAATCACATCCGAGAGGAAAAATTGATTGAGTTAACCAACCGAACCCTCCCAGCTCATAATGGGTCATATGAGCTGGCACGGAAGCAGTGTGGGTGACATGAAGTGTGTACAGCTGCCAGGTTTTAACATATAGCTTTAGCACAAGTGACATGTGAAAGTCTTTTGCAGAAAGAGTAACTTACTCCTAGGAGGCTCAGTTTCTTGCTTGCTCCCTTCAGCACCACCTACAGTTGGAAAAGGGAGAGGAAGGAGAGAAGCATTGGGTCATGTGAATGATGTGTCAGCACTATTATGTTGGCAGAAAATCTATGGTGTAAAACAAACACTTCAGATGGGTTCAATGTCCTGATGTGACTGGCTTAAAAATATCTGCAAGAGCAGTGTGTACTCTTTTGTTTGTTGCATAGTTTTCCATAAAAAAAAATAAATAATAAAATCATTATGAATACAGATAACTGCAGCTGTAGCTGGAGTTCAACCTTCCCCGGAGCTAAAAACATTGTCACCAACTGTCACCACACCTACTGCACCACACTGTCACACCCTGCTACCTGCTGGGTTAACCGTTTTGAATCAGTGTAGGTAATGACACACGGATGGAGACAAGGTCATATATAAAGGGTGGTGTTAGGTTTCACAGTTGACTATAACGGTGTGAAATGCTATAGTAGTATTTATAACTTGGCTCAGAAGCTGGTGTTACATGTTCACCCACAGTGACATCTACTGCAGTAACATACCTCATTGTAGCTGAACTGCTCCCTTGTTCCTTGTTGCTTCAACCTAAGAGAGGCAGAGAGACAGCAACATCTGTAGAAGTAGAAGTGACTGTCGAAACAGCTGTAACTTAAGTCATTGGTTCCCAACCTCCAACCTCCCTCCCTCCCTTTGAAACTGAAAAGAAAAAAGCTAAATTTCTGCCTAAATGCTGTTCTTTTTTCTATTATTAATAAAAAAAACTAGTAGCACTACACTACAAGCATACATTTATAGAAAGGTGTTGGCAATTTATTGCTTGATTGATTACATTATTAAAATTGTATGTAATTTTTTAGGCCAATAATCATCAGTATTTGAGAAAAATCAGAATATGATCATTTTGATGTGTCATTGTGGTTTTTTTTTTTTTTAAGAAACAAAGACACAACATAAGCAAACATTTTGTTTTCTTTTTTCATTTAAAAGTGGTAAATATGGACTAATTGATTTTTTTGGCCACATGGGGGCAGGGCAGCCAATTGTAAATACAATACTGGCTTTATATCACCTAGTTGATATAGTGAATATGTGACCAAATACTTGCTAATTGTGTCTGTGTCCACCTGATGAATATTTCTATATTCATTGTCCTTGAAGCTCTTTTTTCAGTCTAACTAGCTCGTCAGTTAGTCAGCCGCTAACTTTATCTGTCTGCTGTTTGATGCTGGGCAGGTAGCAGTAGAGCCTTTCACTGAAAACAGTTTATATAGGCAGTATGGCACCTCTGGAGAGCAACACTCTATAAATTTGCACCATGATTGCTGTTATCATCACATATTAAGATCTTATTACCAAGGTAATTTTGATTTAATTTTAACCTGCTGTGGCACACTGTGTTGCGATGCTTGTTCAAACTGCCAAGAAGTCTCTAACTGGATCGCCCTCTTGCTGTAATGTTATGTCTCTCTTTGCACTTCCTGTTTTTTTTCCCACATTTCTCATGTAACTTTCTCCCCAGTCCATCTTCCTCTTAAACGTCCCCTACCTACCTGAAAAGGTAGCAGCAGAAGATGAGGCTGAGCATGAAGACGAAGAGGCCAATGCCCAGCACAATGACATACACATTGAGTGGGAGGTGATAGATGTCAGACGTCATGCTGCAGTAGTGTTCAGAGCGCTGAGAACCCAAACCACACAGGCATCCTGCCAGAAAGAGTTTGCAGATACAGAATATATACTTAACACATGTTTAACTGTTACATAGCAGGGTTAAGAGTCCAAATTAACAGTTTAACTAATCTTCTTCCTCTATAATTTCTTAATGTAAATGAGTAACTTTTGAGTCATTTTGTGGGGCTATCATGATTGTTAACCTCAGAACCTTTTTATTTATAGGTCTCTGTATTTTAAGTTTGTTTACGGCCTCAGTCTGTTAAAGTGCATTTTCTTCTTTAAAATAGCACGCTGCTGAAAAAAACATAATCCAGTCTTGCAACTTCATTGTTTACTTTCCCATTATAACCGCCAAAGCCAAAGATCTACAGTATGCAGTCTAAATTGGTAGGAGAAACTTTAAATGCTGCCATTTGTACAGACAGTATTTGAAAAGCAGTTAAACTCTCTCAAGATCTGTGAAAATTATTTTCCTTTGTTGAAGAAAAAGTTAGCTATGCTTATTATTTGAGGAGAGCTTGTTGATCATTAACTACGACGTGAATCTACGGCACTATCAGAGCCTTCTAGTGCCACCAGAATTTGGCTGCCAACAGACACAAAACCTGACCATATGCTTGCTTGACACTGAGTGTATGACGCTCTGGCTCATCTCCACAGAATTGATTCTGTGGAGATGAGCCAGAGCTGACAGTAAAATATTTGGTGTTCAGCGTAATAGTTGGTGTTTGTTTGGCTGCAGGTGTGTCCAGGGAGCTGCGACTGGCACTGTGGTGGCAACTGAGGCGCTCACAGGACTGTGCGTTAATTGGCTGTGAACAAGACAAACATGGAGGACAGACAGCACTTCCGCCACACCACCATCTGTTCCACAGACTCTATAGAGGTGACTGGTGGAGTGTGTGTGTGTGTGTGTGTGTGTGTGTGTGTGTGTGTGTGTGTGTGTGTGTGTGTGTGACAGCACTGGGGGATGGAAGGGTGGGGGTGTCTGTCTGCGTGTATTTGTAAGACAGCAGTGTGTGTGTTGCAGGTGGCAGGGGGTGGGGTATATTAAATAGGATGAACTCTGGGGACTAAAGGGCCATTTGGTAAAACAATAGCAGAGGAAGCCCCACTTCCATAGCCCACATGTGTTCCTATTAATTTGCAGCGGGGAGGCTCTTTGCCAGTCCATGTGTCTCTCTTTAGAGTGAATGAATGGGTACAGCTTGCACACTGTGGGGGGTATGGGGTGGATAATTTGCCATGGCTGGGGGTTGGGGGATTTACAAGGGAGGTAGTGTAGGGAAGACCTAGGGTAGCATAATGAGAGATGCAATTATGAACCAGGCATGGATGCGCTGCAGAATCAATCAACAGTAAACAAACAAGAATATCTTCAGTTTTAGTTGTCATAGTTGTCAAACAAACATGACCTTGAATGTGGCTTATTGTAAGTGAAGCCTCCACTGTCTCAGTAATTTACAGTTTCACAAGTACATCCATTATGTGGATCCCATAAGCTTGCAGCCAGCAACTTAGTACCTGAGTTTATGAGATACAAGTAAATACACGTGCTACTACCTCTTGTGTATTTGGCAGACGCCAGAAAAAATCCACTCACTTACCGTTACACCATTGGAATGGTTGCATGAAATTTGACTCCCAGGGCAGCAGCAGTATATTCAGGCCCTTTCAGGAGAAGGCTGGAGAGGGGCCAAGCTTGTGGGCTGGAGCTCCGGACACTGGATCTGTTTGGAGCCTGGATTCAGTCACCCCGAGCTGGATCGCTCTCTTGTTGGCTTGTGTCAGCTCCTCCAAAAACAACCATCAAGATTTTCAGATTTACTCAGATTCCACAAATCCTCTGGAGGTGCAGTTTTCGTTGGCTCAGCAGTCCGTGCTGCCCAGCATTCCCAAATCTGGATTAACCACTCCCTGTAAAGATTGGGAGATTTGGGACTGGGGTTTGGACTGGGACCGAAGATCTCATGTGCTCCTGGATCCCAGTGAGAATGATGTCATCACAAGAAAAAGAAGAAGAGACAAAGAAATCATGTTGAGAAGACATGATTGTTTTTCAGATGCCTCATACGATGTGTTATTCAGGAGTTGTTATTGTGAGAAGCTGAATCTCGTTCAGTCACAATGTCATAAACAACACAGGCTGCTTGGCAACAGGAAATACTTACATTTCCAGCAGAGAAAGGCCTCTTTTGACTTCACTTTGCGTCTGCGGTGTCGTCCCCTCACCAAATTTGATGACAGCTGCCGTTCAAAATGACAGTCCTCGTCCAGTGAAGGTAATTATCTGGCATTAGTCTGTGCTTTGTCTTCCTCCCAAAGCTGCTTTTTTAACAGAGGATTTTCACAAGTCTCAACCCCCTCTCCTCTCCTCTGTTGTCTCCTCCTCCAGTCCTCTGATCTTGCAGTGGGTACTCCTCCTCAGTATAGAAGGCAAAGATGTGCTTCCCTGTAAAGCCCAAACAAAGTGAGGACAGCTCCATGCAGTCAACAACAGTCCTCTAGCTTGGTTTGGTATTTTGCTGGTGTGTGTGTGTTTGTGTGTCAGTCAGTGTGTGTGTGTGTGTGTGTGTGTGTGTGTGTGTGTGTGTGTGTGTGTGTGTGTGTGCCACGCATTTGTGTGTGTGCGCGCGTGGGGGCGTGGGGGGTTGGGGGGATCCTACTCTCCCTCTAACCATCTGCTCCTTCAATTGAGAAAAAAAGAAATTTGAGACAAAGGCGGTGTGTGTGTACGAGTGTGTCTGCGTGTGTCGTCTCTCCCACCTCCAGCTGGCTTTGTCATGGCAGGCTTCCCCTCTTCCTCTTTCAGTCCTTAATGGTGCTCAGAGAGCTCCTGCAATTCGCCTTTACTTTCCTCCCCTTGGTCCTGCTCTGCTCTGCCTTGGGTTTGTAAACAGATCTGTGCTCATGTGACCAGCCGTTTTGCCTCGCAACTCTTCTCTCCCTCAGCCCTCCCTCACTGCCTCTCTCCTCCAATCTGTAGGCAGAAGGAAGGCAGAATGAGCCAGACACTGACGAATGGGGCGCCTGCAAGCATGCTGATGTGTGTGTGTCTGTATGCGCACACCCCTGTGCATGTATATGTGAGAGGGAGACAAGAGAGACATTTGCAGCAAAGTCAAGGGAGGCCTTGGTCAGTAGCATGCGCATGGCTGATGTCCTGACAACCAAAACAAAGCCGTTTGTGTGAAGTGGAGGTCAGCAAAAGAAGAGATGATGCGCCCTCAGTCACCATTTCCTTCCTTCGCACATACACAGATTGTATTTTTAGAGCTACAGCAGATTCTTTTTCATGTTTGGTTTGTTTGATCTATATATAAACCCCATGTCACTCTTTTGCAGAGGAAGAAGGAGGCAGGTAGAGGAGGGGAGGAGGTGCCTCTCTCGATAGAGGGAACAAAGGGGAGCAAGATGTGAAAGAAAAACAAAAACAACTGAAAAAGAGGGAGACACAGAGGGAAAAATCACGGGCTGGACAAAGACGATGTCCACCCCCACACTAGCGGCCCTTGCTGCCAATTCGCTGAAGGAGAGAACAGCTGCTGGGCTACTGGGTGAGCTGTGAGATGGTCAAGGGGAGTGCTGCTCCACCAATCCCCAGGGGGAGAGGCTTCAATGGGACCCATGCCATTTTCATTCACTCTCCCCTCCCTCCTCCCCTCCTGCTCTAGTAATGACATTACTGCTGAACACTGAGGAACAGCTGGATTGACCGCACAAATGCATGAGCATAAATCCCTAATACACTGCATGTATTGTTGAGCGTTTACAGGTTTTAGAGTCAAAGATGTTTGTAGTTAAAGCGTTGTGTTGTCATTGCTAGCGTGTGAAGGATGGTGGTTTTGGTGACAGAATGTCCTCTTGTAAATTATGGTGAAAACACGATTGTATCAACAGCCTTCTGAAGATGAACAGTAAATTAAAATGATCACATTTTATACATATTCGGCTGTCATGAAATTACTGTTAAAGGCTTTTTGAAAAAAAAATCTAAATGTTTCAGTAAACAGGATTTTACCATGGAGGGACCAATGAAACTGAGAACCATGCAAGAAAAGCGAGAGAAATGCAAATGTTGACCTTGTTCTCCTAGTGACATGTAAATAGTTTTGACTGTCACAACCTTTTGTTTTTGCATAAATCCTAGGTTTGCCGGATTAGATATACAGTAGCACTGTAGGGCTATCTACTCAAAACAAGGTTTAAGGCCCGAAATGTGTTTGTACAGCATGATAAACTAACATTATACAACTGTTCTAATGGTAAAGTTGTCATTTTCAAATGGACAAGTTGATTCTGAGGCTGAGGCTCTTGTACGTGGGCCAGTGCAGATAAAGTATTTGTCTGAAGTTCACCAAACTGTTAAGCTTGACTGTGGCATTACAGCAACTCTATTGCTGAATATGGACCAGTGTGGCCACGAATGGCAGCTGCAGGATAATGGTGAATGCTACAATGTAGTGTAACAGTAGCATAAGTATAGAACAGAAAGTCATAAAACTGACAAATATCAGCTTCACAGCAATATCTAGCTTAAGTTAGCGAACATCAACCAACATTAGCCACCATAAGCTCATGTCATACTGTACCGAGTAAGGCTTAACAGCAAAACTTATGAGTGCATTGACTTTTATTACTTTTCAACTTTTCATTTGTGGGAGAAAGACGGTGTTATTTCTTCTTTCCAAAGTTACATACCGTAGTCTTACTTTAAAGGACCAGTATGTAGGATTTAGTGGCGTAGATGCAGAATACAACCACCTTGCCTCACCCTCCAGTTCCAAGTGTGTAGGAGAAACTACGGTGGCTATGAAACTTGCAAAAAAACTTGAGAGGCCCTCTCTAGATCCAGTTTCTAGATCTGTAACATGGTTGCGGACCCGCTACCTCTCTTGATAAAAACAGCTTAATCTGAGTTTAAAATACGATTCTTATTTTCAGGTGATTATACACTAATGATTACAATATTCTAATTCTGCCAATAGAGCCCCCTAAATGCTATACACTGGACCTTTACAGCAAGGAGAAACAGGGTCTTGAAGTACATACAACTTTTTTCTTTTCTCATATGACCCATGTAATATTTTGTGCCCTGGGGGTGCCTGGTTAGCTCAGTCGGTAGAGCTGGCAACCCATATACGGAGTTACTGCAGCAGCCCAGGCTCAAATCCGACCCTTGGCCCCCCACAGCATGCCATCCCCCGCCAACCCCGAGCTGTCTCCATCCAAGGCATGAAAAGGCCAAAAAAATAACTTAAAGAAATATGTATTAGTGTCTTAGTGTCTTTATCAATGAGAACTCTCCAGAGTGCTATAACAGCTGCTGTAGATAAAACACAGTTGTGAAAACAGCACATTTAGGGCTACACTCAGTAATAAACATCTTCTGAGTAAACTGAGCTGTTTGTGACCCAGAAATGTCTATTTTCTTCCATTTTGTGTATATTGAACCAAACTATACGGTATATTGTACTAAATTAATTTTATATTCATTTTTATGTTCAATGAATTGAAAATTAAATTCTACTAGATCACAATATTATTTATAACTAACTTTGACAAATTACTATGTGTAAATGTTTCTCTGCATATATATAAACACAAATATTCTGAAACAATAAAGAAGAGCCAATTCAAGCTTTTCTTTGTCCTCTTGAGCTCTTTAGACCTTACTATAGTACACTGCCCATTCTTTTTTCTCCACGTTATGGGTGTGTCCCTTTACAAACCCATTTGCTGCTCCATTGGCCTCTCCATTCAGTCTGCCATTGTTTTCACCATCTATTTGGTCCTTTCTCAAAGCCAGAGCTGGCTTACAGGTATGCCAGTTCCATAAAACTTTATTCATATCATCCTGGGCCCTAATACCCAGAAGCTTTTCTTCGTCACTTTTCTTCTTATCTTCGTCTTCATCGTCGCTTTCGTCCTTGCTGGAGCGGTGGCGGTGGAAGTTGTGCATCTCCCCACTGATGTTCTCAAAGTATTGGTGGATGCAAACCTTGGCAAAACTCTTGGCATGCTCCTTACAGGTCTCATCGAACATCTTGCGCTCAATGTCAATGTAATGAGACCAGTACTTGGTCTTGAGGAAGGCAGCTTGGGTAAAGCATGGTCGAATAGCTCGGATCAGGAAGGCGGTGAAGGTCATCATGAGCAAAAACATCCATCCACATGCCTGGAAAATATAAACATTATTAGGTATTTTGATGTAGCAAAATTACCACCATTCTGAGCACATTAGAAATGATTACTACAGTATATGAACAAAATGTAGATAAATGGACTTTGGTTGAGAATATTTACTTAACAATCTGTCTGACCAACACTTGTAACCATGTTTTCTGTTCTTGCAGATACGGAAGATTTAGTGGGAGTCAGATAGCCCAGATGTGATTGAAAAAGCATATAGTAACTTCCTGACAGTTTCATAGCTCATTAACAGAATCAGTATATCAATAGACTTTTTAGAGACATGTTACTTTTAAGCCTGTATAATTGCCCTTCGGCTGATCAAAGACCTAAATAACAGTGTGGGTGTTTTTGGATGGATTGAAATAGGTCCCAGTTCCATGAATAATAAATTTAGAGGCTTATCTATCCCTCTAATAAGTGAACAAGAAAGTGTTAGTGAGCTCAAAGTGCAAAGCCTGAGTCGGGTGGGAGGAGATTTTGAGGAATAAAGCAAGGAAATTTAAATTTGCTTAGTTATCATATGCTGTGATGAAGCTGAAAACTGCCCTCTGAAAGTGTCCCAACTTTTGGCCACACTTACTGTGTATTTGATCTGACTGTCAAAAATAACAATATTTCTTTTTTATTGACTTTTTTCACAGCAGGGAAGTGCTCCATTCAATTCAGGTCAAACAGAGTCACGGTGCTGCTATTGTGCATGTTGGCTCACTGGAAAGGCCCTGTTACACTAAATTAAATGGAAAACCTTATCATTGGTAACCTGTGATTACCTTACTATTTCATGTCAAAATGGCTGCCGTGAAAAGGTCTTTCACAGGATCCTGGAACTGAGAAAAAGGTCAATGGTAGCCTGCTTACAATATGTTTACCTACATCAAGTGCTGTTATTACTATAACAAATACAGTCTAGCCATGTTATCAGCCATGCTGAGAACCAGATGTCCAATTAACCATGCTACCTTTTATAGCCAACAGCAGTTGCAACTTCTATTCAGATTTGTTTTTCACATTTTGGAGTTCCTCATGTGTTATTCAAATGTGCCATTTAACTGACATTCTTTGAAATTGTCTCATGGGTCTCCAGGTCTGTGTCTGTCAAAAGGTTGTCAGCTAATGGCCCCTCTGTTTAAAACCATTCATAATAAAGTGGAGAAAAAGTCAGCAGGCTACCTGTGATATACACTTGATGTATCGTGAGGCTGCCACTCTTATTTCCTGATGCTCAAAAAGGTCTTTGCATGGAATCCTTGCAAGTAGTTTTATCTTCTCTGTCTCTGACATATCCTTCACAAAACTGTAGTTCCCAAACTTGTCAATATCCAAGTTGACGCTGAAAGCACAGAGGAAGCTCTTCCCATCCATGAGAGTGACAGACACCCATACTGCAGGTGCTATCAGGGATCTCTGTGTGATTGAACAAAACATGTAGCGAAGGATTGTTGGATCCTTCCTCCGTTTCCCTGTGGGTCTTTTCCACTCCTCTGCAAGCACCGACACATTATTGTTCAACACAAAACCTAACAGAAAGAACCATATAGGTGGAATGATAAGCAGTCCGATCCCATAGGTGTAGTTGTATTCTGGCATACAGGGGCAGCTGAACTCAAAGGCAGAGTACATCTGTGCACTGGCTAGTGCCATGATACCACATATCCCGTTCATAAAAGATTCCTGGTTGGATTGGAGGAACTGGAACATCATACGAAACTTATCCATGTTGGAAGATGTGGTGGATCTCAAGTTCAGATGGAATTAAATCTGTGAAAAGAAGTACAGGAAGTCTGAAGTCAATCAGTGAAAAAGTGTTAGAAAAGGCACCACAGCACGCTGCTTTTTTTTTGGCATTATGATTCACATAATTCTAATAAATGAGAACCAATCTGTTATGTAACTGTTTCCCTATTGTGTTAAATGGTTTTGTATGAATCACTTTACAGCTTTCTGATATGGACCTCTATAGGGATTATGAGTTGTATTTTTTTTTTTTTCTTAATTTAATAACTGTATTACAATAAGCCTACAACAAAAGCTAGTATGTCACTAATTCTAAATGTTAATAAGTCATTAATAGTGTGTTAACTAATAGTCTGTTAATTATAAGTTGTTAATAAATCTCGGTCAAGATGTCCTTAAGCCTTTTTCCAGAAGTTTGGAGGCTTAGCAGCCAGAGAGGTTTTTCATAACCTGGCAAATCAATAGTTGTTCTCATTAATTACTAATTACCTTTTTTTATAAGGTATTGGTAAATTATTTATTATCTATCAATAAACCCATTATAAACCCTTTATAAAGGGTGCCCTATTAAAAAGTGGTACCAGACTCTCATATGCTTATAGTGAACTATGATTCTTATTCTAAGAATGCAGGAATATCACAGTTTCACAGTTTAATATACAGATAATAATACAATGTTAGACATATTGATTAGAAATTAACATCACGCACACACTTACCTGTTTTCTCAAGAGTGGGTGAACAAAAGGAAAGGAAAAATTCATATAACAACAATGTCAATAGTAAATAACTTGTAATCCTTTATGTAGTTATCAGACATTCTAGCTCTGACCGACTGAAAGGTGTTTCTCGAACTCTCTATTGTGATGTTCAGACCTGACCACATCATCTGTCATCATGCCCCTCCCTTCACAGGTGTTTAGTGTGACGTAACAAAAGGTTCTCTTTTAACCCACAGTTTCTCACAAGTAAACATGTTACAGTGTTCAGAAAACACATCCAATTCAGCCCTTTACAATTCACATCAATGTTTTTTCGTACTTACATGAATGCAGCATTTGGTATAGTTAATTCAAGTTACCTGAACCTTGGCGATGCAGTGTTGTTCAGCTGCAGCCATAACGATCCAGACATGCAAAAATGGCCTCAACCAATTCAAATACACTATCTGTGGCTTTGGCTAAAAAATTTGGTTGTTGCCCAAGAGATGAATGTTGTTTCCACTTGTACCAGAATCAAACAAATCAAGTGACAATAGCTTATTGCATGCAAAATATGATAATTATTAAATCTCTAAGGGATTTGTTTCTTAATTTCACTCCTTTGAACTCAACTGCACCCACTGAATGAGGCGGAGCTCGACAAACCAGTTAGAAGCCCACAAGAAGACAAAAGGCAGGGGCTTATAGACACAAACCATTCTCCACACATAGCTTTTAACAATAGTATTTGGCCTAATGGCTGCTCCTTCATAATGTAATATCTTATAATGTAATTTAAATTGTTTATGATTAATTCAGTGACTCAGAGTAAATGGTTAATTTCAGACTATAATACACAGTTAAACTTACAGGAAGTCTGTGCTATCTGTTTTTTTCTGTGTGTTGCACAGGAAAGTGTCACAGCAGAGCACATGGGCAGGGTGTGCAGGAAATAAGTGACGAAAGACAACCTACAACTACATCCAAAATAGGAAGAGATCACTGAGCCTCTTGCTTCCTCCTTTGTACCTATTCATACATTACCGGAACATCGCCGTATCAAGATCATTGATCACTTCTTCTGGTGGGTTTAATTCTTCCTTTATTTTAATCATTATCATGTGCAGTAATGAATAGTGTTTGATATACAATGTGAGCATAGAAATGATCAGAGAGGATGCTTCCAGGCCATCGAGGAAGTAGCTTCTTTCTTGCATCATTGTGAAATTTGCCAGCAGGAATATGTCTCATTGGGCACTTATATAAGAATAATTGGATTTTTATTAAACCTCTTGTTGTTGCATATTTTACAGAACACTGATGTATTTCAAAAAATCACTGAAATTATGTGTAACAATTCTTTATGACTTATTTACAGACAGTACTGACGATGCAAGATACTCTGCTGCGAGTGTTTGTGGTGGCTCTGAGTTTTCTTACGCATCTGAGGGATGACCATGGGGTTGAGGAATGGGATGATATCATCACAGTGGGCATGCAAAAGCATGAAGAGAGGTTGCTGAGAGGAGGTGATAAACTGGACCACATAATGGCACCTGTCAGTGACGAAATGACACATACCGACAATGGAGGGCCTTTGAATGACATAAAAAACATCCCCAAGGAACAAAAACAATCTGATCAACATTTTATTGAAAAAGATAAAATGTCAGAAGATGTGACTGGGGGACATTTTATGGCAAATTCTGATCCACAAAACTACAAAAGTGACCCTGAGACTGATCTGAAGAATTCACAAACAGACCACAAGCAAAAAGAAGAAGACATCCAGCCTAATGACTCTTTGAAAGACTCAAGCAGAACACAGGAACAACAAGAAAAGCCTACAGAGAAGGAAGTGTTCAGCCCCAAAGAACAAGAATCACCTCTTTCACACTTTCACACCAAGATATCAGAAAACGAAACTTCAGAGAAGGCGGTCGCTGATTGGGAGAAGGATTACCTCTGGTACATATGGAACACACTCTCCATCATTTCCATGATCCGCTTATTCAGGAAATATCTAGGGAACAATTCTCAAATGAAACAAGAAGAAACCAGGGTCTTCCCAGTGACCTCCACTGCTGCTGAAGTGCCTTTACCAGACAGCGACACTCTGCTGCGATTTCATTCTAAATGTATTCAAGTCTCACCCAATAAGTGGAGTGGGTTTTTGGAGGGGTTTGTAAATGATCTACTGGATGCCATGAAGACTGTCTGTGATAGAAATGGTGGTATGGTGATTAAGGACTTTCAGATGGTGGACCTGTGTGATATCATCGTCCCCTTTACCCCACCTGATCCGTATAGTTTTCAGTGTCTGCTCTGTAACAACCAGGCGAGTGATCGGCTTCCAGATATGCAGGTCTGTGGTCAAATAAAACTGGTGGAAAATAAGAAAATCCCAAATGGCTGCCCCTGTCAGTCTACTGCCGCAGATGATATGGTTTGCCTGCTCCATTGCGAGACTGAGAAAGTAAAGACGAAAATTACTGATGTTTGTGATGGCCTTCTTTGCATGAAGAACTCCCCATTCCTGTCACAATCACAGGTTACTAGATGGTTTCAAAGCACCATCAAACAAGCGTGGGCACTGATTTCACACAAGTATGAGTTTGAGTTCAACATTCCCTACATTGCTGCTCCAGGTGCTTTAGTAGTTAGATTCCGATCTGGGAAAAAGATTCGCTTCAGTATGAATCCTGTGGTTAAATTCAACACTGATGCTCATTTCTTTGTTACTCCTGGCTCCCCAAACAACTTGGATACTTTCTGGACTCTCTCCTTGACCAACTATGAAGATCGTTTCTTAGATCACATCTCTAAACATCTGCCTGATGACTCATGCCACAGTCAAACTCTTGAAATTGCACATTTCCTTCTCGAGAGACAGACTGCACTATCAGAAAGAAGTGCTCTCAAGGGTTTTCATTTCAAAACTGCACTAATGCATTTGCTTTTGACCAAAGACCCATCAGAGTGGAAACCAAACTTTCTGGCTTGTAGGTTACGAGACTTACTGGCCTTCATGGAGAGACGCCTTGAGAAAAAGCTGCTGCACCATGTTCTAATTGGGGACCCTTTAACTCAGAAGGTTATTGAGCTCCCTGCTGAATTCACTCAAGTAAAGGCTGTGAATCTCTTCCATCCCCTTGTGGTACACCACTGTATCTACAGAAACGCTGTAACACATTTCCAGGAAATGCTTAGAAATGCACACATGCTGATACATGACTATGTTGTGTATTGACAGTATCAATTGTTTCATTTAAAGAAAATTGTGTACACATTTAAATTGACATATGCAATATACAAAGGGTTTTATTTAAAATGTTGTATCATTTCCACAGGACTGTGCTTTTAGTAATCATGCTCCCAGTACTTTAGAAAGTCTTCATGCTCAGCCATGTCAGGGTCCTCCAAACTGAACGTGTCAGCATCGTAGGATTTCATCCAAGGATCAACCGCTGCATATCGGTCCTTCCAGCTCAAATCCACCTTCCAAGAGTGACTGGAGGTTACATCTCTAGAAGCTGTTGAAATAGGACATGATAAATTCCAAAGAGGAGCATCAAGGGACTCATTTAGTATGTTAAGATTCAGCATGATTACCAGATAAAATTTCCGTTGAATTTGCCAGTACAAGACAGCAAAAATGCTTCAAGTTGACTCACGTTCAAGTTATGCTTTATGCCAATTTGAGGATTATGTATAAGGCTACTGTATTTCATACTGGAGGTACTTCTCCCATAATGTGTTTTTAAAAAAAAAAAAAAACGAAACATTACCCTTTGGCTTTGCAGAGGGGCAGGTGGAGTCACAACAGGTGCAAACAGAGTCATCACCATACAGCTCCTTCCACCTAAACCATAAGCAAGGTGGTCAGATCTTGAAATGCCATTTGACAAGCTTTGTGATAGACAAAAAACAGATCAATGCAATACACACTCACCAAGTGGCAGTACTCAATACAAGCAAGTGCTGAACAAAAGCTTAAGTTCTCCTCCTCCTCCTCCCCCCCGCAGTCAAGTACACAAAACATTTCATCTACAAAGACTTTCAAAGTGACTTTTACTTTAACCAAACTCACTTTTTGGTAGTGGGATCATAATTGCAAGCCTTTGAACTCAGAGTTGGAGTAAGGGTCCCCACAGAGACGTCACAGTGCATGTAGAGTTGCTGAAATACATTGTTTGAGTTATCATACTTTCAAATAGAAAATGTATAGATCTGTGCCATTTGCTCTTTACGGTACCTGTGATGAGGACGAAGTAGAAATCTTGTCTTTAAAAATCAAGGCAACCACACTGAATTTCTGGGTCATCTTTGAGGCATCACTGTGGAACTTTGACTGGCCAGTCACAACGCCATCAATCATACAGCTGCAATTAAAGAGAAATACACATTTACCTCCAACCACCAAGTTACACACCCATCTTATTTCTGAAAAGATTCAAATCTTACCCTTGGTTATCAATGACTGTATATTTAGGATTGGAGTTGGGGTCTTGGGAGGCTGTCATAAAGCACTTGTTAATGTACACCCTCTGTGCTCCAAAACCTGCTGTGCTTTTTGCTTGCTTGACCTCAAAGTACATTGGCTGGCCCAAGGTGTAGGTTTTGGCACCAACGATTTCATTCCCTGAGGCTGTGGAAAAGGATGTCTGTCATTCAACGGTCTTAGATCTTAATCTATTGAGCTATTGTACACTTTAAGGGATTAAGTTACAAAAAACAAACCATGTAAAACCTGCAGTGATGAATCCCTGTGAATACTTGCTGTAGTATTGCATCTTTACATTGTATTTAGTAAATGTTCAAATGCTTAAGACAAATGACAGACATTGCTATGTGGCATTAAAAAAGGTTGATAAAATTTGCATGAGCTAAAGAGTCCATCTCCAGCTTTGATTTACAGGTGTGTTGAGCTCAAATGAAGCTTAAGTCCAACAAAGTCTTCGTCTCACAAGCCAATTTATACCACCCCAGTAATTTCTCTTGCCCTTTGGCTACATTTTATGCTGCCATTTTCCATCCTGTTAAGCAATTGAGATTGTACAATATTTAGTGTTCACCATAGATATCTAGACTTTGAGCAGCAAATTACTGTAAGCTTTTTAGATATCCTCTTGTATTTCCAAGTTGTGATGACAACATTTTTAAAAGGCCAGCTCCTGTCTGCCATTAATCTAAGGACTCAATTTCCTTTGTGTTAGAAAATCTTGTGGGAAAGCCTTGTGCTGAAACACTGCCCTGCCCCCCCCCAAAAAAAAAGAACATACCATCTTGAGGAGTTATAGTGAAACTACTTTTTGGTGTGAGTGCTTTGAGAACTGTGCCTCCTTGTAGTTTGGGATAGAAGCCAACTTTAAAGGAGTGCAATAACCTGTTAACAGTGAAAACTTGTGTTAATACAAAATTGGAGAACAGCAATCATGGATTTTTGGCCCAACTATGCAAAGTGTTGCTACATCATTATTTTATCACTACCTGCATTTAATGTTATCTTAAAACACTACAGTCTGGCCAAAAATAAAGACTAAAAATCTCACCTGGGAAAGTTACACTGCAGCGGAACATCAAATGACTCCTCCCTTAAGACTGGGCCAGGTGGCTTGTAGTGGAGCACAATGCGAACGACCCTCATATCTACATTACTCTGTAAAAACAAACATTTGTTGTAGTAGTACTCAGAATGAAGCAGAATACTAGTTTAGAATAAAGAAATCATCCCTTTACCAACCTCTTTCTGGAAGCCACAGTCATCTTGCAGAAGGTTCAGAAGATAGTAATGTTCTTTGGTACTTGCTTTGACAGCACAGGTGCCTAGTTTCAAATATTTCCATGCGTTCCTAGTCTTGAAGAATTCTCTCTTAATTCTTACATACATTCTATCAACATGACACAGGATTTCAACCATCTTTGGACTGGTTGTTGCTACTGTTGTTGTTGTTGTTATTGTACCAGTAAGACTCCCAAGTAACATATTCATGACGGAGTAAGGGAGGGGTCTGAAACCCTTTTCTGGCTTGAAAACCTCTTTCTGGTCCTGGGAGGCTGAGACAGTCATATACTGAGGAACCTCCTTGGCTTGAGGTGTTGAAGAGTCACTACCTGATGTACTCCTCCAGAATTTGGTTTCAGGTGCAGGGGCTCGCTCCTTTTCATCACCTATCACTGTCTCCATTCTCTCCCACTCTAATTCGGGATTTTGCACAAACAGGCCATACCCAGCTCCACCGCTAACCTCATAACTATAGGCAGAGCCAAACAGCAATAATAAAAGCCCAGCATGTATCAGCGCCATTTTTTTGTTTTGACTCCAGCAGCTGCCTCCCACTGAAGTTGACCGCTTGCCCAAGGGTTGAGTGGTGGTGGTCGTGTCTCACCTGGCTTTTGTAGTCTGCAATCAAGAGACTTCATACAGCTGCTGCCAATCAACAACAACCAATGAGAGGTGACCAATAATAAATCATCCTTAACAGGCTATACCTTTGTCAGTATCTGTCATACACCATGTGGGTCTGTAAAGTATTTCATAATGTTCATAATTTCCTTATCCATCCCAATTCAGTGGTATCACGTGGAAAATAAAGTATAAATGAAAGAAATGAGAGCATTTCCTCCAAAATTTTAATTAAACGAGTTACATTGAAAAAGGGTTAAGAACCAAGACTATTGCAAAATCATTATCATTACATAAAAATAAAGTACCTTGTATTCGTATTACACATAAATGAAACTGGACAAAATTGCAAAATTGCAATAAAACTAAAAAAGTCAAGCTAAAAAAGGTGCAAAAGGCATAGTTATCTCACTTAAAATCTTTTAAAATAATTCCCAGAGCAGAATAATTATATGTATACATCAGGCTTGCGGAGTAATGGATTACATGTAACTGAGTTACGTAATCAGGATACAAGAGGTAACTGGTATGCATTAATAATAGGGATATACAGCAGGATTACAATGTTAGAACATATTCTCTTAAAATACACATTTTTGGTGTTAAAATAATTCAATTTCTTTGCATTTGTGGTGCATTTTGAAAGTAACCCTCCCAACCCTGGTACACATTCCCTGTAAAGATCTCGATATAATTCCCAAATTCAAAAGATGGGGTAATTTCAAAAACTTGAGCTCGCCTAATGAATATAAAATCTGGCAAGTAAAGTAAATAGATTACCAATAAATTGTGAAAATAACATTTTCTGTTTCTTTTACTTTTTAAATGTAACCCGGATGTTACGCAGCTAATGATGTCAATACCAGGAAGTTCCAACACAGTCAACTTGTCTGCTCGGAAGCTGAATGTCCCTCGTCGGCCTCTTTTTTTAATGTTTTATAAACAAAGTGCAACAATCGTATTTGGATTGATAGAGTATCGTTTTAAGCAGGACTAAACAACCTATCTTTTTCAGCGTATCCTCTGTGCAAGAATGCGTTATCATCGTCTGTGGGAGCTAGCTAGCTAACAAGCTAACAGCTAGTTAAGGTTGTTTTGGTTATTAATGTGAACATTAATGTGACATCGACTCAGTCTGGACTCTCCTTCCAGTGCGAATAACGTAGCACTGGTTTGTTTGCCATAGTCCACTTGATTCAGGAAACAGTCGTATTTGTTAGACGTTAAAAACAACATAGTTTATGTAAATCTTCGGTAATGTCCCGGCTAACTGCTTAGCTAACGTTAAACGGCGTTCGCCTACCTTTAGCTACCACTGCTGGGGACCGTCTGGTTGTCCCTTGCCCCGAACAGTGGACGTCTGGCGAGCTTATAAAGCTCTCTCTGAACCGGATCCAATGCGTGGGATGATGGGGACCCAGAGTAGTCCTGTCAAGAGTTACGATTATCTCCTGAAATTTCTTTTGGTGGGAGACAGCGATGTCGGAAAGGGAGAAATCTTGGACAGTTTGCAAGACGGATCAGTAGAGTCTCCCTATGCCTACAGCAGTGGTGAGTAACTGGTTCTGGTGTTGTTCAGAGTTTAATGAAAAGGCCCATGTCCAACATCAGCTAACTTTGTGTTGATTGTGTGTAACCTGCAGGGATTGATTACAAGACCACCACAATTCTGCTGGATGGGAGAAGAGTCAAATTAGAGTTATGGTAAGTGTTTTTATCTATTGACAATGATCAGGTTAACAGTGCCTGCAGGTATTGTATATTGTCCACTACAATGCTTGTGTCTGTGTGTCTGTCTGTTTTCAACAGGGACACATCAGGGCAGGGCAGATTCTGCACCATCTTCCGGTCCTACTCTCGTGGAGCACAGGTGAGAACTTTCTAGAGCAATTTTGGTGTTTTCCTTTATTTTGCAATTCTGTATATATGTCAACATGTTTGGCTTTCCTTCCACAGGGCATCCTGCTCGTGTATGACATCACCAACGGCTGGTCGTTTGATGGCATAGACCGCTGGATTCGGGAAATTGACGAGGTAATCCCATTCAACCCATTTGTAGCTGACAAAGAATTAGACTTTGGACTGTTATTGACGGATGAAGAGTCCTTTTTCATGGTGCTGTACATATCAAACGACAAACAGCATACAACGACAAAGACAACGGTACACATTCATTGCGTGATGTCCTGTGCTATTGAGGTTGGGTGTGGGCAGACCAATTATCCCGGCAGCTGTGTTGGTCATGTTTGGTTATATTATTAACAGATCACATGTTAAAGAAAGAAATGTTAAGAAATAAATACTGGAAATGCATGGGTAGGGCCTGTATCCTTCCATCCATGATAAAGACCGTTGTCTGTCAGTGCAACTAAAAATGAGAGATATAGAATAGCTTTTGGAAATCTTGTTTAAGAGATATAACAGAATTGGGTAATATTACCTCAATAAATACAGCAACAACATTGTTTATTTCCTCCAGCATGCCCCGGGTGTACCCAGGATCCTGGTGGGCAACCGGCTTCACCTGGCTTTCAAGCGGCAGGTGCCAACAGAACAGGCCAGGGCTTACGCAGAAAAGAACAGCATGACTTTCTTTGAGGTCAGTCCGCTCTGCAACTTCAATGTCATCGAATCCTTCACGGAACTTTCACGCATCGTGCTGATGAGACACGGGATGGAGAAATTCTGGAGGCCCAACAGAGGTGAGCTGGTTGATTGTTTTTGCAATCCAGTTCTGTCAGATCAGGAATGTATGTTTTAAAAAATGTATATTTTAATGAGTACAGTATAGAGCCCCTTGAAAGTGTCCTGAGATAAGTTCTGTTGTGATTTGGCGCTACACAAATATAATTGAATTGACTTAAATGTGAAAAACTCAAAAGCATTGAGAATTCCCAGTTACAGTGTAGTAGTAAGTTACAGTGTAGTAGTAAACCACAGTCCTCGCTGTCAACTGTTGTTCATTGGTACTATTTCTTTGGTAAAAAGTAGTTCCAGTGCACGCCATTCAATGCAAGGTCTGTGGATTATCTAGAGTAATCTGGACATTATTTCTGAAAAGACACACTGCTCTTGAATGTAATGACATGAATACATATGGGTGAGAAATTAAAGTAAAAAACAACAAAGTGTCTTAGTAAGGTCTTGGGCCACCATGCACTGCCAGAACAGCTGGAATGTCTCTTGGCATTGATTCTCTGGAACTCTACTGGAGAGATGAACACCATTCTTCCTAAAGATATTCCCTCATTTGGTGTTTTGATGGTGGTGGTGGAGAGCGCTAACTCGCTGGTCCAAAGTTCTCAATAGCGGTGGCTACTAGTCCTGAGTCTCCCTAGCTAGGAAAGCTACAGTTAACCCAAGTAGTCTCGCAAAATGTCCCCCAAAATGTCCCCCACTACATAACAGAGCCACCGGATGCCCCTCACTGTAGGGGTCAAGCATTCAGGTCTGTACTATTCTCAGATGTACACCACACATGCACATGCATATTCTCGCACTAGTTGAGAATATGGTGAACGCTGACTCATCTGACCACTTTTTTCCATATCTCTGTAGATCAGAGCCTGTATGGTTTGTGCATCACTTATCTCTCAAACATGCATTCATATTTGTAAGAAGGGGGTTATTTACTGCAACCCTACTATAATATTGATATATAAATCAACTGGGCCTGCTCAGCATTTTATATATCTCATAGAGCATAATTGGATGTTAATTGCCTAATTGTACCATGCAGTGGACCCATGGAAGCATCTGATTTATTGTGGTTTTTCCCTTCAATTTGTCACCCATCTGAAATCAGTATGTATCAGTCCCAATAGAAATTGCAAACTCACAAAGATGCAGACTCTGTAACAATTTGGTCACATGGTGAAACTACCACATCATTGCCAAAATCAAGTTATTTACAAATCTTTTAAATATATCCATAATTATTTTAGATATCTTGCTATTAGACAAACGGGTGCTTAAATGTAAGATTTCAAAATTCATTGTTGAACAACTTTAGAAGGGACTGCAAATAAAGAGAGGAAAACAGACAGAAAATAAAGATTAAATATTGATACCAGCATAAAAAAAAAAAAAGTTTAGTGCAAGCAGTAACAAATTTGTGTGGATGAAAATCTGTATCTGGCATCAGCTTGGTCTCAATGCAGCACAATGTGTGGGCACACTGAACAGATTTATTGCAAACTTTTTGGAGTATCTGTCATGACATCCAGTCATAACATCCATATTCTCTTTTCTTGTTCCACAGTCTTCAGCCTCCAAGATCTGTGCTGCCGTTCGATCGTCTCCTGCACGCCGGTGCACCTTATTGACAAACTGCCCCTCCCTGTGGCCATCAAGTCCCACCTCAAGTCTTTCTCTATGGCCAACGGCATGAACGCAGTTATGATGCACGGACGCTCCTACTCAGTGGCCAACAGCGCAGCTTCAGGCGGAAGCAGCGGCGGAAGCAAAGCCAACAGTCTCAAACGCTCAAAGTCCTTCAGGCCTCCACAGAGTCCTCCAAAGAACTCGTCGTCATCCTCTAAGGGGAACTGTAAGATTTCATAGTGAAGGAGCAGACTAATGGTTGCCTCCAAAGGGCCAGTATTAATGGTGTTGTTGCTCCAAAAGGTCACAGGGCCACAGATGAGCATGGAGAGCTACCCGCAGTCTTCACCAGGAGCGGATATAGCTGTGAACTAACATTGACCTTTGGGAACCGTCTTGGATGGTTGGATTGGTTTCTGTTGTCTTTGCGCTTGCTGGTGCCATCTTGTGGATGTCCGTTTACCCATGTTCTCTTACTGCAGAGGTCCACTGTGATCAAGTAGAACAAGATTTTCCTGGGACCAACAGATGTGAATCAAGGATTATCACTCTCCTGTTAACACTACAAACGAGTGGAGGAACGTTAGCTGTCTTTTATTTGGAAAAGGATTGTTTGTTGTATTTAAAGTTGGACATGAAGTTGTAAATATACTGTATGTGCTAGTTGTTTTGGTCTGTGTTTGGTAATTAATCCTGGAGGGGAACTTCTTATACTTGTTTTGTCTTGAATGTTTTGGGAGACCTGCTTTGGTGTCCAACTTCTTTGTGTGTCTTATGCCCTTTGTCTATTGCAGACAGTTCCCTTTGCAATATCAAGGGTGCTGAGCTACTTATTTAAAACTCAGATTAGTTAAATTTTTAATTAACATTGGCTTAAATTGAATGTCACAAGAAGCTTCTCAGACAGACTAGTAATAGATGTAAGAGAGTTATCTATCCATTGAAAAACCTTCTTAGTCTAGCCCTTCTTAATCCGTGAATCTGTCCGGCAAAGTTGAGCCAAGTTGTCTTGTTTTGAAGACTTCCTGTGGTGCCGCTAAATTCCAGCTCAAATGAATTCCCCCTCCATCTCCATCAGTCATTGGTATGAACGTCTGTTGACTTTCTCAGGCCATTTTTGCCTCTAAATCTAATCTCCTCAGTCGTATCATTGCTTCAATTGGTTTAAACCACCAACAGCATGATCAGTTTAAATCTGTCAACTCTTGGAGCAATTCAGAGATCGCTCGGTGCTGATGAGGAAACCTTGTACAAACGCAGATGTACAGATTGTTTGCTCAGTTGTGGCATTTTGCCTTCAGGAAGTGCTGCAGTCGTCTCTTGGTTGTTGAGAGGAATATTTTAATTTGATTGCTTTTTGGATATTTTATGTATATGCTATGTATTTATGAATGTATGACAGTAATCATCTGCTACTTTCCCGTGGCCATATGGTAATATGTCGGACTGTAAGAATCAGAGGTGGAAAGTCATATCTGTTGCTGTAATATTTGATATTATATGAGCGTCGCCTCTTGGTTCAGTATTTGTACTTTTGCTGCTGAAGTTAATTATTATTTTCCAACCTTCTAAAGAACGCCTGTTTAATAGGAGGAGTTAGAAATGTATTCTGGATTTGCAAGAATGTCAGATGAACTTGAAGACTGCAGAAAGAGCTCAGAAAGTCTTGTTTATTTAATCAGAGCTACCTTTTCTTATTCTTTTAATAATTGAAACATCTACACAAATACTTATATTCTGGTGTTTTCTTTCCACCTCTGATTGTGCTGTATTTCCACTTCAACATTCCCCTGTCCTGCCTGTGTGTATGTGATAAGGTCATCCAGGGCATAAAAAAAATGTGGTGCATGTTTTCTACTGGCGCCTGTTTCATGTGGTGTATTGAGACCAGTACAATAGGCTAACAGAACTCTTGAGTGAACATTTAAAGCACTATATGTAAACGTTGGATTCTGATTGTTGCTCTCAGAGCTGTGTCTCTGAAGGTTTGGATACGGGATTGATTATAATTTGTCTCCATTGAAAACAGTCACCCATCAAAATAAAGGGTAAAACTACAAGGTTGCTTTGTGTTCTTGTCAACTTGTGTGCTGCGCTGCAGTGATTTGTCATTCAAACATTTATCAAGGTCATTATGGGAATTGTGGGAATATGTTTTTGTACCCTTTGTCCAGTCCGGGCCCGCCGGTGCCCAAGTGCAATAAAACCCGGTGGGGGGGGGGGGGGGGGGGGCTGAATTGATTAGCTGCTCTCTCGGTATTGCGCCACTATTGGATAACCGGCACATCGCTGCAGCGCATGAATGCAGCGCGGTCAAAAGTCACCCAAAGGTTGCAGGGTCACCTCCAGTGAAAAGATGTGGGGTGCTGCTTCTCATCGCCTCGGGGCTGCGCCGGGACAAAGATGAGACGCACACTATTGAAAATGTGGCGCTTTACGCCTTCCCACCTGACCGTGGCATCTCTGAGCTCCGTGTGAATGAGGGACGGTGGTAAATTGAACGACGTCTAGACAAGAAGGACGTAAACAACATGTTTTGCTAGACATGATGCGACACGCCCCGTGTTTGGGTTTCACGCTTTCCGCCTCGGCGCTCCAGGCGACTTTTAACAGTTTGCACTTTGATTTGCGCAAGACAAAGCTAGTATCTGCACAAGTTTGTATTGCGTAAAACATCTGGAAATATGTTATCACAAACTGAAGATACAACTCTTAGCAACAGCCACAACTGCGCTTAGCGAGGAAACAAGACTATTGCCTTATTTATGAATGACACCTCTATAAATGCCGTCTGGGCGCATTTAACGTTGGATTTCTCACCGGAATGTGTAGCTCCGTGCGCACGGTTGTTGGGACAGCTTGCCACCACGGCCCCACGCTTTCTTTGATGTTTTTACAATGTTTGTCCAGTTGCTTAGCGCACGGTGCTGCTTCATAAGAGTTTCAGACACTGGACGACCATGGGGGCGGTCAGAGGGGCTGCCCTTTCCACCTCCATTCACACTCTGAAAGGCTGATGTTGCGTCTTTCTCTCTCATTGTGCGGCTTCGTTCGCTTATTTCGCTGTTCGACGAAATCGACCTGAATGAGAGTTTTGCCCACTGTTGCACGAGTTTTGTTTTGATTATCAAGGCGAATATTTCATGCGAGCCAACTGCACCTTCTAACCGCTTTTTCTGGGATATATTTTGTTCACTGAATGTCCAGCGTATTTGGGAACTCGTCTTGGCCTTTTGGATTCAGCTCTCCTCTCTGCGCGCAGCAAATTGATTTCCACCATGTTTACGCACGGAACGGACGACCACATTTGAAAATCAACATTACACTTATTCCGAAAGACCTAACGGAGGAATGGATTTATCCGGTGGGCGACTCATGCAAAACAGCAATAATGTATAAAATCCCTCTACAACTTTTGGAGGATAGATGTGTAAAGGATAAATGTTGGCATAATGCACCCAACTCAAATAAACCACTGTTAGGATGGATACGTGCGTATTTGTTGATGCTCTTGGTTTCCGAATTACCCGAACTTTCTTTGTGTGCAAGTGTGGCAGGACCCAAAGTTGAACACGAAGGATTTTGTCCCAACAAGCTGAATTCCAATCTGTGGGTTGATGCGCAAAGCACCTGCGAGAGGGAATGCAACGTCGATGAGGTGGTGCTATTTCTGTTATCCCCATTAGAGTTTTAAGATTTCTCCGTTTAAATTTGCTTCCATGAATGCTGTTTTTGTCTTTGCAGGACTGTTCTGACTTTGAGAAATGCTGCACCAACGTGTGTGGCCTCAACAGCTGTGTGGCTGCACGTTTCTCTGATGGCACCCCTGCCCAGCCAGATGGGCAGGGTGGAGGAAAAGGAAATGATGCCCCCACCTCTACAGCTACCTGTGAAGGCTTTATCTGCAGCCAGCAGGGGGCGATCTGTGACATCTGGGATGGACAGCCCATCTGCAAGTGCCAGGACCGCTGTGAGAAAGAGCCCAACTTCACCTGTGCTTCAGATGGCCTCACCTACTTTAACCGCTGCTACATGGACGCGGAGGCCTGCATCCGTGGGGTGACTTTAACTGTGGTCACCTGTCGCTTCTTCCTGGCTGGGCCCCACACCAGTCCCCTGCCTCAGGACACTACAGCTAACCCCACCCCAACATCCTCCCAGGAGGACCCCATGCCCCCCACACTGTACTCCAACCCTCACCACCAGTCCATCTATGTCGGAGGCACAATCAGCTTCCACTGTGACGTTATTGGAGTCCCCAGACCTGATGTAACATGGGAGAAACAGAGTGAAAGACGTGAACACCTGGTTATGAGGCCTGACCAGATGTACGGCAACGTGGTTATCACCAACATCGGTCAGCTTGTCATTTACAACGCCCAGGTTTGGGATACAGGTATCTACACCTGCATCGCACGGAATTCTGCAGGAGTTCTTCGAGCTGACTATCCCCTGTCTGTCATCCGCCGGGCTGATGATGATTTCTCTGAAGATCCTGAGATGTCCATGGGGCGGCCTTTCTCACCAGCAGACTGCCTGGTTGAAGTAGACCTGAAAGTGTGCAGTGGTGAGCGCCACGTGGACTGGTACTATGACAGCAAGCTTGGCTCCTGCATGGCCTTTAGCAACGGTGGATGTGAGGACAGCCGCAACCGATTCGAGACTTATGAGGAGTGCAAGGCCTCCTGTCAGAGAGAGGGGATGGGCATCTGCTCCCTGCCTGCTGTCCAAGGCCCCTGCAAAGTTTGGGAGCCACGTTGGGCCTGGAATTCTCTCATGAAGCAGTGCCAAGCCTTTGCCTATGGCGGCTGCCACGGCAATGCCAACAGCTTCCGCACCAAGAAGGAGTGTGAGGCAAACTGCCCACAACCCAAAAGGAAACCGTGTAAGACCTGTCGGGCTAAGGGGAAAATGGTGCCCAGCTTATGCCGGAGTGACTTTGCTATTGTGGGGCGGCTCACAGAGCTGGTGGAGGATCTGGACTCTGGGTTGGCCCGCTTTAGCTTGGAAGAGGTCTTGAGAGATGAAAAGATGGGCTTGACTTTCTTTAATACCAAACACCTCGAGGTGACCATAGCCAAGATAGACTGGAGCTGTCCCTGCCCCAACATCACCATGGAGGAAAACCCTTTGCTTGTGATGGGTGTCGTGCAGGATGGCATGGCCATCATCCAAACAGACAGCTACGTGAGATCCATTACTGAACGTAGACTCAAGAAGCTACGTGAGGTTCTGGGTAAAAAGACCTGCGAGGCATCGTGAAAGTCTCTCAGGATTTAGATTTATTAGCCCACAGAGAGTCTGTGGTTACCTTTACCTTTAGCACTGAAGATGAGCATCAGAATTGCAACAAGAGAAGTCTTTAAATTGAAAGAAACAAATATGCTAAATGGCTGTATGTTAATGAAGTCATTTGTATGTACAATGTGTATTCGTTACAACATAGGTTGGTTGTACTACATTCCAGATGTGTTTTAATATCAGTGCTGATGTGCTCTTTATATATAAGTTTAAATATAGATGTTTCTCATTTTTTCCTCCATGTTTGTATTCTGAAAAAAGATAGTAGCCAGAGTAGCAGCCACACAGGTTGATGCAAAATGCATAAAGATATAGACACCTGCAGTATGATACCTCTAAATTGTGTTTTTCTCTTTTACTGTATTATGTTTATTTTGTATTTGGCTCTTTAGTCATTTGCATAGATGTTTTATATAGGTTTCCTTTTGTTATTATGTCTGATTTCAAGATCTAATGTACAGCCCATTGTCTCTTAAATATCTCCCTCTGCATAGCACTTCTTAGCTTAACAAAATAACTTCACTGACAGTCTCTGCAAACTCAATGAAGAAATAAAGAGTAGGTGGCTTTATCAAGGTAAATATAGTACACAGACAACATATACGTGAGCCTTACTCATTTTACTCAAGTGTGCAATACAGAAGAATACATAGTGTATAATAGATTACATTATTTCTGTTTTAATTAAACAATAGAATATGGGGAAACGATTCACTAACAGTTCTGGAAATGTTGGCAATGTGTCTGAGTTTCAAGTGTAAGTTAAGGCGTTTAACCCTCCTGCTTCCGGAACAACAGGATACTTCACACCAAACTCTCCTTCCTGAACAGAAGACATTTGTTGTTTGCCGGCATGTCCATCTAGTAAAGAAAACATTTAAAGTCACATATTTTTGAACCAATACGTGCACACAACTGAATCGTTAACATTCTTATCTTTTTACGTTTTATGGATAAAACTTGTGCTGGATGCTCCAATGATCTGTTCACTTACTATTTTCTCCAGGAATAAACCATTTCTTTGTGCTATAGTATTGAGGAAGGAGATATCCCTGAGTCCCCACTCTGGGTTCCTGTAAGATTAAAAAATATAGCCTTTATATATCCCACAGTGCATTATTTTTTGTATGGATGACAACAACAAGTGAACCTTCGTGATTATGTATACAGTGCTGCTTTCTGTTATCTTTTAAAGTGAAATTCCTGACTTTGTTTTTTGTTTTCGAGTCTTACCTCTGCCGTAGGCTGTAGTCAAAGTCAACATTACTTTGAGGGGTGACCTGACCATTCACTGCATAAGGCTGTGGGTAACAACAAAAGATGTTAAGTAGCATAATAGCGTCACCCTTTTATGTTTAGATTCGATCATATCTGATAACATGTCATGAATAGTAAGTATCATGTAAGAGGATGAAATGTTTTTTCACTCACCCCATATGTCAGTAAAAGACCTTGCGGCTTCAGCAATGCTCCAGCCCCTTTGAATAAACCCTGGAAGAAAATAATGATGTCTTAAGGTACCCGCATTCATCACAGGCAGTGGGGGTTGAGTGGCAGGAGGGACAAAGACTCCAGCCCTTTTTGTTCTTGGTCTCTTTTACAGACTGTAAGACTGGCGGTAGAAATGTGTAAATTGCTCACAGTTATTATCTGAGGAGTTACGAGTCAAAAGGGTCATACTGTATTTACACTCTGGGGGGCATACACTGCGATATTTCAGCCATATGTAAACAAGACCAGTCAATAGATCACTGGACAACACTTAAAGCCGGACTATGTACATTTTGAAAAAAGAAATAACACAATCTTTCTTTTAGAAATGAAAAGTTAAATGTGTAAGCAATAAAAAAACACTCCTGCTCAATTCAATACACTCAAAGGTTTTGCTGCTAAAGCCTTGCTTGGTCTGTTATGACCAGTAGCATTTGGTTGCTAATGTTAGCTGACTTAAGATGAACCCACTAGGGTGCACTGAGTAAAAATGAGCTGAGGGCACTTAGTAATTACTTTTTGGATGGATGATTTATTACAAATTAGTTGACAAATGTGCACCATGTAACTACAGCAGACACTCAAATAATAATGGCTTTTTTAAAATATATATATATCTAGGTCCCGCTGTGCATGCAGGTTCTTGTAAGGCCTCTAACATTTCAGTTTATATTGTGCTTTAGTGTTGCATAAAGTATTATTAAACAAATGTGCAATTTATCAAATGCCGCACATTAAACCTGGAGCCTGCGTGGGTCCTGAGGGCCCTAGGGAAGGTGCAAGCTATTGGTAATGCAGTTGTGAGTCCATGGGTTAGATAAGCCCAGTCACAACAGCAGCCCTACCTCAGTGCAAGCCACTGGAGAAATGTGGATCATGTTGATGTTGACTACCAGATCCAGGCTCTCTGGCGGGATCCCTCCCCAGTACTGGTGAGGCAGAGAAGCATCCAGGTGGATGGCAGGCTTCACATTGTGCAGCTGGTAGTGGGCTCTGTACGCTTCTATACTGAGAATGGGAACAAAGACATTATTGTTAATGCGGGCACCCCCCCCAACAAAAGGTTTTACCAGCAGTGTGCCTGTCCTACACCAGTAATATTAAATGAATTACCGTAATACCTGAGTTAAATGGCCAATGCCTTTCTTCAAGTTTGCTACGCAGAAACTATTGATACCGCAAACAGCGGAGTTTATAAACAGTCTGTAAGGTCCAGCTGTAATAAGACTATAATATAACTGATACACACAGCCTGTAGTTACCTGGCTAGAGACTGGCGGTCATACTCTGATGGCTGCCAGATTATATTCCGCAGGGCCTGAGCGAAGTGTGTGACATGTTGCCCGGTACCGGAGGAGATCTCCAGAGCCTGCAGGGGTCTCCCGGTGTTCACGCTCTCCAGGAGCACCGCCAGGATGGGCTCCTTGTTCCTCTCCGCGGCGGCGGCGCTCAGCATCGTACTAAACCCCGGGTATAACTGTCGAGTAATGCGGTACACTGTACAAAGCAGCCACTCCAGTGTACCTGAGTACCGTCAGTCCAGATTGAATAACTCAACACCACCCACGAATGTTTTGTTTTTCGGCTGAAAAAGGTCCACTTCCGGATTGTCTCACGTGACTGACCTGTCATCCAATAAGGACACTGGGCGGGCGCACGTTCTCGTGCACCGTTATAAAAGAATGACCACACAAATACACGTTTTACACAGGGTTTCTTTATTTAAGGGGAAATAGCGGGCAGGTACACATCCTATTTTTTTTTTAACAAAATGTACACAGTATGAACGTCCCCCAGGCTCCAATTTAACTCTTTAACAGACACAGCAACTTATAATAATTTAAAATCTGTCCGAGTAACAGGGCATAAATAGAAACAGCAGAAAAGAACAAAATGTTTTGGCAATCGAAAATATACATAACAGGATTGTCAGTGTGGTAAAGTGAAGGTAAACAGACTCCAGACACAACACCAATCTAATTTTAATGAGTAAAACAAAGGATACTTATCCACACTTAGGGCTATACAGAGTTTGTGTAAAAGAGACCCAGAATGGGAAAATAATACTGTGAATCTCTGGATCTGTTACACATTATATACATTATTAATGAGTCATAAAAGCTGGTAATGTTACTAAAGCAGTGTGAACCAAAAGTATCTAAACATAATTTTTATTTACACCTTTTAAGGTTACTGTATACGCAGGTAGTCAGTGGAATAAAATGCAAACACATTCAATTACAGTGACTTAAATTGTGTGCTTCAGTCGATGATGAGAAGTAAAACCTGCTTTATTTGAACAAAACAATATTCAATGATGTTTCATGCAGTGGTGAGCGGCTTGTCCCTCTCCTCCAGCCCAGCTGCATGTTCTGCATTTTGACTCTTCTCATTTTCCAAACTGAGCAGTGTTTGTGGTGTGTTAAGAGGAGACTCCTGGCTCTCAAGTGGACAGTTTTGTACCAGAGAAGCATTCAGACAGAGGAAGGTCTGGTTGTTGCCAAGGGCGTCCAGACTAGTCGTGGTTGTGACCACAGAATCACTGAAGATCGTGTTTGAGAAGACAGAATTGAAAGTGAACGAGGAGGCAAAAAGTGACTCCTGCACAGGGGGTTTGGGGTCTGTGGGAACAACAACCGTTGGGTCTCTGGGAGGTTTGACTGGAGGAATGGGCTCAGACTCACTGTTATTGGCGTCTGGCTCTGGTTGCTTCTGACTGGCCTCCTGATTATTGCTCTCTCCTGGAGCCTGGATGGAGTGCGGTTCAGTCTTGACCATCACCCTGCAGTCGCTGTTTACACTGGAGCGTCGGGACGATCCCTCTGCTGTGGAAATTACACTGCTGGCTCGGGGGAGACTTTTGGGCGACCTGGGCCCTTTCAGCCGCCCCTCTTTCCCCAGAGGGGTGGAGAAGCAGTTGAGGCAGCCAGACATTGAAGATGACTTACCCTGAACATACAGCACTGTGACAGGTGAACAAACTGAGGCCTGGGTAGTTTCAGCTTTGCTAGAGCTGGGTTTTGAATTGATCCCATTAAGCCCTGGGTTCATTTTGACTGCGCCCCCTGAATCTGACGAACGACGTATCACTTTCCCTCTTGACCCCCTTCGGATGCTCTTCGTCCCCCTTGTGAGCCAGAAGTCCTGAGAGAGCACAAGATCTTTCTGCTTTGTCGTAGCCTGGATATCTGAATTCTGACTGCTGGTGATGGGCATGGTAGAAGCTTTCTCCTTGTGCTGCATCTGCCTCTTTGTGTGTTGGGGGGTGGAGGTATCGCTGGGTGGCTGGTAGGAGGAGGAGGAGCGGCGTGATGGGGGCTGCTGGACCGGGCTGCTGCCATTTGACCATGGCTCATTTTCCAGGCTCAGGCTGAACTCACCGCTGCTCTCACTTTGGGCTCGACTCTGGACGCCATTCAGCCCTGGAAAGAGATTATGATGTTTGTATTAAGAGCTACAATACAATAATATTCTTACTGATCAACAGGGGGCAGCAGAGTCTTTCTAAAGGCCTCTGCGGTCAGCATAGAGATTAACATGAAACAAGGTCATGATTGCAATTTGATGGATTTACTCTAATTCCTGAGCTGGTAATACATCTGTATGCTTGCTGAATCCTCTAAACGAGTATCCACAGGGCTTTACCGTGATTTTGCAGCTCGTCGTTGTCCTCAACTCCAGATGGCACAGCGCTGTCATTCGAATCTTTATCTGTGGGGCATAAAGTGAGAACTCACTGAATAGGTACAAGCAATTGACACTTCTGGCTTTCTATGTTTCAAATGAGAAAAAGCTCATGAGAGTGCCGTCTTTGCTCTACTCTCCTCTATACTTTTATTCTAGCGTCTAACTACTGAAGATGACATCAAACAAAACAGTGGCTCATGAATGCCTCTACCTGTCACCCAAAGCTCAGAAACATCTGGGACCGTGTTGGTGGTGTCAGTGGTGGTGGTGGTGGTGACGTGGCCAGATGGTAGAGTGGTGGGATGATTAAGGTGGAGGATGGACAAAATGGATGTGGTAAGGGATGAGGTCAGTGCGTTCTTCCTGTTCTCCTCCACATCAGCCTCTGACCCTTCCTCCTCGAACAGGGCCGAGGGGTACACCAAGCTGCTCAGGGCTGCGTTGTTGGACCGAGTGGTGGAAGAAGTGGGGAGTGGATGAGGCAGGGGGACAGACAGGTGATGTGGTCATGGAGATTAAAGGTATTTTTAAAGGTTCTCTGGCGTAGGAAACATGGAGACAGAGATGGTTTGCTTTCTCTATCAACAACGCAATAGTCTAAAGTTGTGGTTTAAAACTGTTAATGTTTCCTTACAGTGTAGTGGTAGGAAAGAGCTCATGTCGCACCAGTGTCCTCCTGCAATGCAGCATTTCTTTGACCTCTATTAATACCCCAGATTGTCTTCAAATATAGCCACTTGGCTAGAAAATAACTGGTGCAGATGCTTAAAGCTGTAATATATTGAACTATTTTAGGTTAGTGTGGTGAAATGCAAACATATGACTGCCAATTTTACTCTGCTGGGAAGCATCCTTGCTGACAATGCTACTCAACCTAGGGTTATTTTTTTGTTATGGCATGTAGCAGATGGTGACAAATAAAATAAAGCATAGATTCAGTATGATTATTATAATATATATATATATATATATATATATATATATCAAGTTAGCAATGAAATAAAAGGCTACAGTCAAGACGAGGGTAAA